ATAGGAGTAAATCACCAGATATATTCAGACTCTTTTCCTTTGCCAAATATCGAAACGGTGAGCCAAGGCAGCATATAACCAAATAGAAACTGACGAGAAATTTAATGAAATCACCTCGGTAAACACCCCTATAGACTTACTAAGATGGACTCGTCTACTGTTTGGGGTAAAGACTTCGAGCCATATTCTTCGAAAAGCATTTGAAAGAGTCTTATTATGAAAAATAAAAATAAAAATATATAATAATATATCGGGACGATATATCTGTAAGGGCAAAAACTAAAGAAGAATTAAAATATACAACAGAGCAAATTTTAGTGAGATTGAAAAAGGCAGCCATGACTGTAAACAAAGTTTAATTTTGAGTGTAAGAAGATATCATATTTAGGATATCAAATATCTAAAGAAGGTATATCACCTGACGATAGACTAACAAAGAACATAACAGAAATAGCTGCTCCAAAAAATAAAAAAAGAGTATTAGGATCTTTTTGGGGGCTAATAAATTTTATAGTAAACACATACCAAGATACAGTGACATAATAGAGCCATTTGCAAAATTACGCAAAAAAACAACAACAACAAAAAAAAAACAATGAATTTAACTGGACACAAAAACAAACTATAGCTTTTGAAGCACTAAAGAAAATACTGACGAACAAACCAATAACAAAAGTTTTTGATCCACAAAATAAAGTAACGTTAACCACAGACGTGAATGAAAAGGTGTTTACTGCTATTCTATCACAATCATATACATATCAAGAAGATTAAAGTCAACAGAAACTAACTACTCAAATATTGAAAAAGAAGCAGTAGCAATTGTAAGGAGTATATAAAGGGCACAAAAGTTTTTAACAGGAAAAAAGTCTGATTAAAATCGAACCACAAACCATTGGAATTCATATTTAACCCGAGAAAAGAATTACCAAAAGTCCCATCGTCAAGGATTTTAAGATGGGCGATAAAGATAAGAGCATTCGATTTTAATATAGTATACGTAAAGGGGAACGCTATCCGTCGCGTAGACGCTTTATCAAGATTACAGGTCAAGAATGAAACAGAAGAAAAAATGGCGCATACGGAAGATAAAATAATACACTGGGTAGAAACGGACGTTCTTTCTCTAAACTGACTCAAAATAGAAACAACGCAAGACCCAATTTTAAACAGAATAGTAGAGAGAATAAAAAATAATATATAGAGCAATGTTCGATGGCAGAGCGACCCTTTAAAAATAACGAAGCCATAGAAAATATCATAATATGCAATGGGAATATAATTGCAGCTCCACAAATAATGAAAAGGAGTACATGACATGCATTGTGGCATGACAACAGCAGCATAAAGAAGACTAAAGTTACAAGCCTGGTGGCCAGGATATTCAAAAGACGTAGAGAAATACTTTAAGAGATGCCCAAAATGTTCGAAAATAAAAAAAACTTCAATCAAGCAAAAATTCACTCATGGCCCAAGGAAACAAGGCCATGGGTTAAGGTCCACATGGATCACGCACATATCAAAGATAGGGAATTATTCTTAGTATTAGTAGACTCATATTTAGGATGGCCAGAGGTTGTCAGAGTAAAAGAGAGAAAATCAACCACAAAGCAATTACTAAGAACGATATTCTCAAAGAATGGAGTACCCCAGACATTAGTCACCGACAATGCACCCGAATTTTCCGATGAGAACTTATGTACGTGGTTAAAACAGATTGGATGTATCCTATACAAGACACCACCATATCTGCCACAATCTAATGGCATTGCGGACAGAATGGTACAAACGGTAAAAATGGGATTAAAAGCATTCTCACCGCTTAATGAAAGCATAGAAACGTATCTACAAAAAATGCTCCTCGGTTACAGATCCATTCCACATGCGGGAAGAAAACTCAGCTCTTCGGCATTAACGGGAAGACAAATCAGAGCCCCCATAACTATGTCATTTGCGCCGAAAGAAAAGGTATGGTATAGAAAGAATAAAGAGTCTAAGCCAGAAGAAGCAAATTTCATGATACAAAAAGGACAATTGAGAAAGAAAATGGGACAACATTATACTGGCACGTGCAGATCATTTTAGAAGCAGAAACGAACTGGATGACGTAGAAATGGAAGACAAAGAACAAGAAGAGATAGAAAGTTACAAAAGTGTAACAGAGCAGGAAATGGAAGAAAGTGAGAATGAAAAGACAGACGAGTATGAAGAAGATAATGAGAAAACAAGAAAGACAAGAGGAAGGAAAACACAATACGAAAAATAATCAGAAATAGTAAAAGAAAAAACAAGGGTATACAACCTCTCCGATTCATGGAGGTGTAGTATCGTATGCAAATTAGATAGACAAGTATAAATAGAGAACAGCAGGCGAACATAGGAGACAGCTATATCTAGCAAACCCTGTTGCTATTGAAGACACGAAGAACTGTACTACGACTACTACTACACAGAGAGTGTAAAACATAACGGCTAATATTCCTATTAATGTCATTGCCATACAGAATAACAGGTGTGTCCTGTCCAAGACAGGGTCACACCTGCTGTTGTACTTTTTCTGTTTTCTTTGCCAGCGTCATTTATGAGTCACCAACAGGCGAGATCGTTTGTCTTCGTTGTCAGAAACACAGAGGAGGGGGAGCTCAAATAATTCAATGGATAATGCCGAAAGAGCGATTGACAGCGACTCAGTCGCCCCACCGCCGAGTCTTACCTTTCACCAAACTCTATCATCTTTCACCTGCATAAAGGTTGAAAAAGGAAATGATATAAGAAGGTCTAATGACGATTTAATCATCTAAGTGACAGTTGAATAGAAAGGACAAAAAAAAAAAACAAAAAAAAAAAAAAAAGAAATAGGAGAATTCACTAAATTCTACGAAATTTCCTCAGTTAATCATTATTAAATAAGTGTTTGGGCATTTCACCATGGTGTTTGTCTCACTAATCAATTACAACTGAATAGTGAGTTCGATCCTCACTGGGTGTCTCATACGATCGGCCTTTTGCCACATCTAAGCCTCGACGTGGTGTAATGGTTAGCAAGCTTGTCTCGCTAGAGCAATTACGACTGAATAGGGAGTTCGATCCTCACTGGGTACCCCATATATTCGGCCTTGTGCCACATCTAAGCTTCGACGTGGTGTAATGGTTAGCAAGCTTGTCTCGCTAGAAAACTTACGACAGAATAGTGAGTTCGATCCTCACTGGGTGCCCCATATTTTCGGCCTTGTGCCACATCTAAGCTTCGACGTGGTGTAATGGTTAGCAAGCTTCTCGCTAGAAAAATTACGACAGAATAGTGAGTTCGATCCTCACTGGGTGCCCCATATTTTCGGCCTTGTGCCACATCTAAACTTCAACGTGGTGTAATGGTTAGCAAGCTTGTCTCGCGAGATCAGTTACGACTGAATAATGAGTTCGATTCTCACTGGGTGCCCAATACTTTCACCTTGTGCCACATCTAAGTTTCGACGTGGTGTTAGCAAGCTTGTTCTGCTAGATCAATTACGACTGAGTAGTGAGTTCGATCCTCAATGGGTGTCCCATAATTTCGGTCTTGTGTCGTATCAGAAATGTCTAAACTCTCAGCTATATGCAAACTTTTTCTTAGATCAATAGTTCAAAATAGTTTCGGGAGAATGTGTGTAAATGACTCTCGAGTGGTTTGTAACATCCTATTTATCTTCTCTCATTTACGTACAATCTTAGGGAAGAATGCTCTCAGAGTCGCAACTGAGAGGTGCCCAGCCCTAGGGAACAGCTGTCCGAGGCCGCGCCATCTCATTGCACTAGAGAGGGGTATCGGTGCTCACACCGAGGCCAGCTCAACCGACGGTTGTGGGGGCTGTGGACAATTTTTGTTTCTAGCCCGGGTGTACGCGCTCGGGTGCCCAGCTAAAAAACTGACCTCGTGTCACAACCTAGTCTTCGTCCTAGTGAGGAGACAGAGTAAGAACTTAGTTTCAGGTGAATGAACCCTGTGGGTCTTTCGAAGGAATGTACTCGTGTCGGATTTCGTAGATTGGCGCTACGGAATCCTAAACTAAATGAGAGGCGTCATCACTTGAAGAGTTTCAACAGCAGCAGCAGCATCTAGAATGGATTAAATTTAAGGGAAAGACTTGAAAGGGAATATAATGACAGCATGGACGTTCCACAAAGTTAGGAAGGAAACTGCACTTAAAATTAGAAAGAGCGATAACAGTTAGTGAACTTGAGAACCCTATTTTCCTGAGGAACTCTATCAAGAGAAAGATTTTATAAATGTCAACGGACACTAAGGTTGAATGCACGGTCATTAAATAACGAATGTTTCTTCATAAAGAAACGCTTAATGTCGTCATTACTCTTGAGATTCTTTAGGAAATGTGGGTTGCCTTGTCGGACTTGGGCCGCCATGTCTCTCTGTCGTCAGCTTCTCTTATCGGAGGGCCGTTCAGTTCTCATTTGTGGAACTTTCTTCGGAATTCTTGCTTTCCAGTCAAATTTGATCTTCAAACATTTGAATGCAATGTCGTTGGCCATTTTCTGACATCTTGGAACCTATTCTTTCATTACCCTCACTCCTTTTTCTCACAATCTTTCGCTCTTAACAAACGCTTGCGTGTTAGAGGTATACGGCTACATCAAATTAAAACACAGGTTAAGCAACGTTGAGCTAAGTTACTACTTAAATGGGTGACCGCTTGGGAATACCAGGTGCTCTAATCTTGGTTGTGTAGGTGGTATTACGGCCATATAACGTTGAAACACTAGTTCCCGTACCGAAGTTAAGCAACGTCAAGCTAGGTTACTACTTAAATGGGTGACCGTTTGTCAATACCAGCTGCTGTAAGCTTGGATGTGTGGATGGTATAGTCATCTTACGGCCATAGCACGTTGAAACACTAGTTCCCGTACCAAAGTTAAGCAACGTCAGTCTAGGTTACTACTTAAATGGGTAACCGTTTATGAATACTAGGTGTTGTAAGCTTAGATGAGTGGGTGGTATAATCGTCTTACGACCATAACGCGTTGAAACACCGGTTCCCGTACCGAAGTTAAGCAACGTCGAGCCTGGTCACTACCTAGATGGATGATCGCTTAGGAATACCAGGTGTTGTAATTTTGAATATGTGGGCAGTATAATCGGCTTACGACCATATCACGTTGAAACATTGGCTTCCGCACCAAAATGAAACAACGTCAAGCCTAGTCAGTGCCTCGATGGATAACCGCTTGGGAAGACAAAGTGTTGGAATCTTGGATGTTCGGGTGGTGTAATGGATAATGGCTCGAAAATTTTGCTCTCAGGTAGATAAACTAAATTTCATCTCTCAGTTGTGTCTCTGTCTTCGGACAGAGCGCATCTGAAAATATTATTGAGAGGTACCCGGTCTAGCGGAACAGCTGCCCGCAGCAGTGCCGCCCTCATTGCGCTAAAGGGAGTGGGCGGTAGCATTGCCGATACAAGCGCAACCGGCGGCTCAGGTGGTTGAAATATTTTAGGACCTGCACGCACTAGGACTGCCCACATTAAATTAACTTGATATCAGAATCTGCCAGTGTGAAGCGACAAGAAAATACAATAACTTCTTGGCCTTTTTTGCGAAAATCAAAGTGGAGTATCTGTTTTTTTTTCTACTTCTCTATTTGTCTCTCTGTCTCCACTTTTAATTTCCATTCTATCTTTCTTTCTTTCTTTCTTTTTCTCACTGAAACCAAATAGTGTCTTTTCCACCTTTTCTACACTACCAAAACGGAATGTTCCATTTATTTATGAGGTATTAAGAGGCGACTTTAAACACTTCTATCTTCCCTGTTATCTTTCTTTCTTTCTTTCTTTCTTTCTTTCTTTCTCTTTTTCATTTATTCATTCTTTCTTTCTTTTCTTAATTCTTTCTTTCTTTTCTTATTTCTTTCTTTCTTTCTTTCTTTTCTTCATTCATTCTTTCTTTCTTTTCTTAATTCATTCATTCTTTCTTTCTTTTCTTAATTCAGTCATTCTTTCTTTGTTTCTTTCTTTTCTTCTTTCTTTCTTTCTTTTCTTCATTCATTCATTCTTTCTTTCTTTTCTTAATTCATTCTTTCTTTCTTTTCTTAATTCATTCATTCTTTCTTTGTTTCTTTCTTTTCTTAATTCTTTCTTTCTTTTTCTCACTGAAACCAAATAGTGTCTTTTCCACCTTTTCTACACTATCAAAACGGAATATTCCATTTATTTATGAGGTATTAACAGGCGACTTTAAACACGTCTATCTTCACTGTTATCTTTCTTTCTTTCTTTCTTTCATTTTCTCATTGAAAGCAAGTAGCGTCTTTTCTATCTTTCCGCACGCTCAAAACAGAGTCGTACGTTATTCATGAGTTATTGACAGAGCGTAACGGTCGTACGAACTAAAGAATGGTGGGACACGCACAAGTATAATAGCACGCTAAGATCACTGAGGAACTCCTCGAAACATACAAATTTCCTAAACATAATTTTTTGTCAAGATACCTAAGACAATGTTTAGGTTTCTAATTCTTCTACCAAGTGACACAACCTGTATAGTTAAAAAATGTTTATAAGTTGGCATCTCAGTCCCACTCTTTCACTGTCGAAACGGTTAAATGTAAACGTCTCTTCTTCTCAAAGAAGTTCTTTTCTCGCACTTCCCGCCTGTGGAATTCTCTTCCTTTTACTTGCTTCCCTTATAACTATAATCTTCAAATATTCAAGTGTAATGTCAATCGACATCTTCTGATATATTGAGCTTGCTCCCCGTCCTTCTCTTTATCCTCTCCCCAAACACGACTCTTTAGTCTTGTTCTCAATCCTCTGTAACCCCTTGCGTGCTAGTGGCACTCCCGCCTTGCTTGGGGTGAAATGCTTAAAAAAATAAATAAATAAAATAAAATATCCATAGAATTTTCCCTATCCCATCGTTAAATATTCGTGCTTTGACAAAATATTGCGATAACAATCATAAATATGAATGTTAGTCTTTAATTTAAGAAGTAAGGGGGTACAAATGAAAAGATTTTGCCAATTGACAACCTTTCCGTGCCGTGGCTTTCCTCTGTCTTTTCTATACGTATTTTCACGGCATCTGTTCCGACGAGTTGCTTTCTCTGGTTCCCAGACTGCATGAATTTAAGCGAGCTACCAGGTTGGCATCTCGGTCGCACCCTTTCACTGTCGAAACGATTAAATGTAACCATCTCGTATACTCAAAAAGCTTCTTCTCCTGCACTTCCCGTCTGTGGAACTCCCTTCCTTTTACTTGCTTCCCTGATAATTATAATCTTCGAATATTCAAGTGTAATGTCAATCGACATCTTCTGATATATTGAGCTTGCTCCCCGTCCTTCTCTTTATCCTCTCCCCAAACACGACTCTTTAGTCTTGTTCACAATCCTCTGTAACCCCTTGCGTGCTAGTGGCACTCCCGCCTTGCTTGGGATGAAATGCTTTAAAAGAAAAGAAAAATGAAGCCAAATCAGTGCTTACCTTTTAATGTCGACTCTTCTTCCGCTCTTGCTGCTATGGTCTGCAGATGTTCATTAGCCCTTGCTAGGGGGATTATTTCAGAAAGTGTTTTATTCCTGAGAACCGAATCTTTGTCTATTGTAACTCCTGATGTGACTATAATTTTCTTAATAAGTACTGTGGTACTAGAGACTGGTACTGAGTCCGTGGTTGTATCAGCAGTAGAAACTGGTGTAGACGTCGTAGTATCAACATCGCTCTCAGTGAACGCGGTGGAAGTAGCAACTTTTGTTATCTCGTTGGCATAAAGTCCAGAATCGGCTTTTTCTTTGGATTCAGGAACAACTACTGAGCTTATCACTGGTAACTCTGTTGTTGTAGAGACTTCAGGTTCGGTAATGCTTGTCGTTAAATCTACGGGAGCATCGGTGGATGACGCAGAGACCGACGAAGTCGACACGGTGGTAGATTCGGAAACCGAAGAATGTATGACGGTGGCAGATTCGGATGACGAAGAAGACCCAACGGTGGTAGATTCGGAGACCGAAGAAGGTTCGACGGTGATAGATTCGGAGACCGAAGAAGGTCTGACGGTGATAGATTCGGAGACCGAAGAAGGTCCGACGGTGGTAGATTCGGAGACCGAAGAAGGTTCGGCGGTGATAGATTCGGAGACCGAAGAAGGTTCGGCGGTGGTAGATTCGGAGACTGAAGAATGTTCGGCGGTGGTAGATTCGGAGACCGAAGAAGGTTCGACAGTGATAGATTCGGAGACCGAAGAACGTTCGACGGTGGTTGATTCGGAGACCGAAGAATGTTCGGCGGTGATAGATTCGGAGACCGAAGAACGTTCGACGGTGGTTGATTCAGAAGCCGTAGGTACGCCATTAGTAGGCGCAAAGACTGTAGATAGTTCGACAGTGGTCATCTCAGATGATGTCGTATCAGCTATTTCGCTTATGTTCGCTACAACTGCAGACGACCTGATTGGTTCATTTAATTCATTGAAAGTATCAACAAGAGATTTAGTCACCATTTCAGAAATCTGCGGGACTATTAGTGTACTATTAAGAGGATTTAATGAGCTTTGTGTGTCGACTCCTGTGGTGATCTCCTTTACGTCGCTCTCAGCAACATTTGGCTGGACTGGCATTTCTGTTATTGTTTCTGTATATTCCTCGACCCCAAGAGTAGCCGTTGCGCTGCCTTCAGTGCCTGTGTCAACGGCTTTTGTTGTCAGCTGAGTCGCTATTTTACTTTCTTTGATTGGTATAAGATCGTCAATCTGAGCTTCCTTTTCCGGAAGAAGAGCCGTTGTGGTGTCATTCGAAACAGTATCAGTTGTCAGTGATGCCTCTTCTGTGGAGAGTCTCACTGAGTTTGTTTTCATAAAACGAGCTTCAAACGAATCCATATCAAATAAATTTGGTTCAAGGGGAGTATCTCCTGAAAGTTCCTCCTGGTGTGATTCTTGATGGGATTCTTCTTCGGATTTCTCGATTTGGGACAGATCAGGAATATCGGAATATTTGAACTTCGTTCCATTCTTGCCTTTGAAGATGTCGCTAAATCCGGTCTCCTTTTGTCTGGGTAGCTCTCCGGAACCATCGTCAATCGTCGGCTCGGTGACAATATCGTCCGGTCTAGCGGGCTGATCTCCTTGCAACCCAGCCGTTTTGTGCAGATGCTTGAGGAATGGTGACATCACACATTTGGTGTCGTGTTCCCGGTTGCACAAGGCTTGTAAACGATGTCCGGCAGCACAAGTGCTACAACGCTTACAGCGGAAAAGTCTGTTGAAATGGTTCGTGTACGTTCCAGCAGGACAAGGAGCACAGCGTGTCTCCGAGTAACTGCTGCATTTTTGAGCGACGAAATATCCCGGGTTACATTTATGACATTTCCAAGGAAAATTGGAATGTTTGGTCTCTCCAATCTGCAAAGAAGAAAGTCTAAATTTAATCAAAACGTTTCAAGACATTTGGAAAGTATTTTTTTTAATTAATAGTTCATGTAATTTTTCATGTAAGTTACGCCCTTGTGCAAATTAATTATACAGGAAGATGTGGAGGGCCATGATCACCTACACCCTTGTGCAAATTGAGACAAAACGAATAATTCCGTTCTTATTTACTTTTCATATTTTTCCAATGAAACAACTACACATGTTAGTACTTCATATGTCCATTCCATGCAGTCGTTCCCGCAGATTGACCACAGATTCTCGATTGGATTTAAATCAGGAGAGTTTCCCGGTCAGTCTATAGTACTTTGATTTGCTCACTGGTAAGGCTTGCCAATGTGCTCGTGCAGCGTTACAATTTTTATACCCTTCCTTGGAGTAACGTCCATCGCAGACAATGGTCATAGGACAACTAATCGACAGTCGAGGCAATAGTGTCTAAGCGTGATAAAAATCTGATGCAATCACGGATGATGCAATATTTTTCAAGGTCAAACAAATTTCATCATACACCCTTAAAATAGATTCATATTACTGCACACCACTGCAAATGACATAATCCGAGGAAAAAACAGAAATCGATTACACCCTGTCACTCCAGTGGGTCTAAAACTGACCCTATGGTTAAAGAAAGGATACTAAAGCGGTTGTTTCAATTAAGTTGCACAAGGGTGTAGAAGCCTAATTATTAATCATCATTATTCGACCCTAGTCGGGATCTTCGAGTCATTGTGAACTCTTCTGTCCTTAACTGCATAATATGTGCTTTGCCAGGCCTACATACAGTTTTGAATTCAGAGTTTTCCGTCTCCTAGACCGGTTACCATCCAAGGCTATAGAACCCAGTCTGTCCTGCTATTTACCCATAGCTGGGGGGGGGGAGAAGAGAATTTATACCTTTCCCAAGGGTATTAGTGAATGTAATGGATCCGACTGGAATTCGAACTCGACTCTGTCATCCATTACTCCATAGTGCCTCATTCTAATTATTAAAGAATAACATTTATTTTATACAAAATATATTTATTTTTCGACGTATCTTCTCCTTTGTCAATGCCCTTAATTCACTGTTGGGAAAATTTGGACCTTCATGCTCGCCAAAAACAGAGTGTCAATATGACGGTTTTTCCTTTGTCACCGCTGTTATTTTAACTACCTTCACTCCTCAGCAATGTTTATTGTTAAAAAAAAATGATTAGAACTGAAACAAAATTTAAACATGATGAAAATTAATTTTGAAATATTTTTTGATTTTGGGAATTTCAAAAAAAATATTAAACTGTATAAATTTATTGGATTGTTTATTTACAAGAATAATGTTGTATTTACAACATTCTAAAAACGAATGCAATTAAAACGAATGCAATGCAATATTATATTAACTAATTTTTAAAGAAATAAATACGAAAAAATTTTTTATTCATAAGTTTATAAAAATTTACGAAATTATTAAAATATGTGAACCAATTAAAAGGAAATCTTAATTATTTACCATTTTATGAAGTTTGAATCAAATGTCAATTATCCAATGTTTTGCCAACCTTTCCATTAAATAATATAAAAATAAATAGTTTAAATAAACAATATAATAAATAAATAGTATTTAATATATATATATGTTTTAAATTTTCACTTGAAATATCTTTGCCCTTCTTTGCCTTTAAAGGAGTGCCCTTTGCCATGCTGATGTTGCTACATGCCTTACTTCTTGCCTATCTCAAACTGCAAATTTTTTCTAAGCTCTATGCTAAACATTAAATCTGTTACGAAAAAAGAACTAAACAAAATGAACACAAAACGGTCAGCTTTAAAAAAGGACTCGTAACTGGAAAAACCGAATGAAAAAAGAATATTGACAACAAATACTTTTTCACACCCAACCCAGTTCTGCGGAATCAGAATCAACGTTGAGTTTAAGAAAGCGAATGATGCCAATTGGAGTAAAGTGCCATCCAGATTTAAATTTTCCCACTTGTGACGAATGCAGTTATCGTTTTTTTTTTTTTGCAAGCTAGCATGCTAGTTAACATTCGTGTCAGTCAGCTGTTGGCTCTCACGCTGGCCAATAGAATCTTCCTGCCTATTCGTGGCAGCCAGCTATTGGCTCTCATTCTGTCCAGTACAAAATGACCGCAAACTACATGAAAAGTGCCGTAGAAGCATGAAAAAATCGATTATTTCCACTATCGATATTAGGAAATGCAACGTCGGTCTTAGCCTTTCCTTTAACTTGGAGCATGTGCATGTAAATTTTGGTCCGTCGAAAATTGCGGCTGTGCATTCGTTACACACACACAAACACACACATCCTGCCTTTTATATATATATATATATATATATATATATATATATATATATATATATATATATATAATAATACATATATTATATAATATATATAAAATATGTATATAAAAATAATATATATATTATATAATATATATATAACATATATAATATATATATATATATATAAAAATAATATATATAATATATATATAAAATAATATATATATATATATATATATTTTATATATATATATTATATATATATATATATATATATATATATATATATATATATATATGTATATATAATATATATGAAAAAAATATATACGGAAAAAACAAAAAAATCTTATATACAATTATGCTGTTTTAATGTTAATATGTATCTATGATTTTTTTTGTTTTTTTCCATACATATTTTTTTCATACTATCGGATCTATATCCATATATTTGCTTACATATAATATATATATAATATATATATATATATATATATATATATATAATAATTAATATATATATATATACATATATATATATAATACATATATATATATATATATATATATATATATATATATATATATATATATATATATATATATATATATATATATATATATATATAGGCAAATTTATGGATATAGATCCGACAGTATGAAGAAAAATATACAGAAAAAACAAGATTTTTGTTTGTTTTTTCTGTATATTTTTCATCATATATATATATATATATATATATATATTATATATATATATATATATATTAATGGAAAGATGTCTGATAAAGTGGAAAAGTTTTCATGTGACGCGTTTTTTATCTTTTCGGACTTCATCTGATAATTTTTTTTATGTTGACGCCTGCGACTATAACCTGCGCACGAACAAGAGGCTTTTTCTAATTTGAGTCTATAATCTAACCTGATTTCATTTAGATTCATTTTCTTTTTCTTTTTTTGTTTTGTTATTAAATGTCGCACATTGTGATAACAGAAGATCTGTCAAAAATGCTGAAATGTTGTAAGAACCTGGCCACAAATTTATTGTGAATGTTTTCGCGATTAAATCACTTTCTAAATATTTGCGTCCCAGTGAATTGTTTTCTCTTTTAATCAGAGTATCATTTTTCTATCAAAACAGTGATCAAAATAGTTATATATTTTACTATTTTTACTATTATATATATATATATATATATATATATCGAGCCGAGTTCGAATCCAGGTTGAATCCATTACATTCACTTACGTGCTAATACCCTTGGGAAAGGTGTGAATCCTTTTCTTCTCCCTCCAGCTATGGGTAAAATAGCAGGACAGACTGGGTTCTACAGCCTTGATGGGCAATTGGTCTAGGAGAAGGACAACTCTGAATTCAAAACCTGAGGTGGGTTGTTTAGGAACCTTGTGGCACATAGCAATTGGTTTCTGTATTCGGCCCTTCAAAAAAGTGTGGATGGTCCTGCACGAAACCTTCACCACTATAATCGAATCTCATGTGCCGGTGTCGGGCTGTCGGTTTCCTGGAAGCTGATCTGCAGAATCGATTTTATATATATATATATATATATATATATATATATATATATATATATATATATATATATATATAGTCGACTCCCCATAAGTGCCACAAGGTCCCCAAACGACCCCCCACAGGTTTTGAATTCAAAGTTGTCCTTCTCCTAGACCATATATATATTATAAACTGTTACATTGGATCATTTTCTAATTATGTTATGAATGTTTGTTGAATTTATATTCTTTTCGTTCTTTTACATTTGTATATATATATATATATATATATATATATATATATATATATATATATATATATATGTGTGTGTATAAATATAAATAAATATATATATGTATAATTATTTATATATTATATGCGCAGTACTTATTAGAAAGCGCTCAATATCAGAGATAGAGCTAAGAAACTCACATCTATCCAACCAAATATATATATATATATATATATATATATACTTAAATAAATAGAATGTATGTCATTATATTTTTTTACCTTGAGGGGAGACTTTCGAACAAAACTTTTTCAAAAGTTGAACGTTGGCGAGCAACAGGAAACAATCAAAGACACATTAGTTAATAGCGAATGAAGATAGAAAATTGGAATACGATTAAAATAGATTTTAATTATGAATAAATTAACGACTAAAAAAAAAAATACGAAGTTCCAAAAAGAGTATAAAATGGAAACGTGTTACTCATATTCCCTCAATCAAATGTAAGGAAGGAGTAAAGTGTTCCTTTTGTTTACATAGGATCGACTGATGAAACTTAATATAAACAGCCTCAAGAACTCGAACATGGTGAACCAGTGAGCACTATATATATATATATATATATATATATATATATATATATATATATATATATATATATTATTGAAGAACATTTGCTGTTTAAATACACATAATTTAAATGGCATGATCGTAGAGCTTATCAAGGTACCAACAGTCAAAATTCCGGCGAAGTCTGATCAAAAAAGCAAATTCAAATTTCTAAACTCGTAAAGGATGTTAATATTACAAAAGCAACTCTGAAGTCATCCATTACGACCGAACAATACTCAGCCTCTGAAAATTAATCGTACAATATTTCCTACTTCTCTGAGTATATATATATATATATATATATATATATATATATATATATATACTCAGAGAAGTAAGAAATATTGTAGTATTAATTTAGTATATATATATATATATATATATATATATATATATATATATACCAGGTGTACCAGCAAATTGTCAAATAGTGCTACAGCGTAATTGTCCATCCCAAAAATGTTTATTGTCTAAAAATACTAAAATTATTGCGTTTCTTTTTTCCAGGTTTTCAGATAAGACCTTTAGCCATCTTGACACCATTTGTCGTAAGAATAAATGAAAAAAAACCTTTGAGTTATTCAGCTAGAAACAGAAGAGGTTAAAATCATTTTGTGTCAGCCCCAGTGAGAGGAAAAAATCATTCCTGCCTTCAGTAATGGTACCAACATTCATACTCTGGCTTTCATCTTCAAAGTCAAATCAAAGAACCATCAAGAGAACGGTGAATAAGTTTTAAAAAGAGGGATCAGTAGAGAGGAAAACTGGATCAAGAGGTCACAACAGAAAGAGGGATCATCATTTCAACTTAGAGCTAAAGAAATCAATTAGAAAAGATCCAACTCAATTCATTCACCTATGTCAGTCTAAAGAGCAGTGAAAAAAAACTTGAAAATGAAATCGTACGTGAAACATGTGCGGCAACTTCTTACTCCAAGACAGAAAGGTTAGAGAGGGCGAAGATCAATTTGAATAAGTTGGAAAATTATACTGGAATACTCTCTCTCTCTCTCTCTCTCTCTATATATATATATATATATATATATATGAACTTTAATTCAATCCTTCATGAGCTTCCGATCCTTAGCTATGATTAATTAATGATGTCATTTTCGTTTATGATCGATTTCATCACGATTCTTCTGTTAAGCTTGGAGAGTAATTATACATTCTTCTTGCTTAGAGTCCAATAGTGTTATAAAAACCTCGGAGAATTCCAGTAATATATCTTTAATCATTTTTAAGGTACAATTAGTTTGGTTTAATTAATTTCTACTAAGTTAGGACAGTGAAACTGTTTAACCCATTAGTGCATTGCGTCCAATTTTCTTTGAAGGTGTGTGTGTGTGGTGGGGGGTAAACCTAAATTTCAAATTCGCCAGTCCAAAGAGAACCGACAGCCAGCAAGCTAAGTTATGCATAAAGAGTTAAACTTTTGAGAAAACTTTACAATGTAATGAGTTAATTCCGTCACTATTATTATTGTTAGCATTATTATTGAATATATGATAAAATCTTTCATGTAGAGAATGTCCCGAATATTTGGTCTGCCATATATATATATATATATATATATATATATATATATATATATATATATATATATATCCAATTATAGGATTGGGATACGGAATAAATTCCAATAGCCAAAAAATACTATTCTTAAAATAGTGCTCAATACAGAGTAGAGCAAATACAATTATTTATTCGAAAATTATAACATTAAATGTTATAAAATCACTACAAAAATAGCCATTTTGTTTCAACACTTCTGGTGTCTTATCACGTGATAGTGTTGAATGTAAAAACTCCAAATGTAAAAGAAAGGAGTGTAATATTTCAACATTCGAAAAATTAATTTAAAACAGGGCTTCATACAAAAGTAGCGCAATTAATATTTATTTATTATGCACTGTTATATTAGAAGATGTACATGTCTACTATACAACTGGGAAACTATGATGGTACTAGTACCATCATGGTTTACCACCTGAAGAAACGTTACTTTTTAATGTTGAAACAAAATGTAGAGTTTTGTAGTGGACATGTACATGTTCTAATGTAAAAGTGCAATATATATATATATATATATATATATATATATATATATATATATATATAGATAGATAGATAGATAGATAGGTAGATAGATAGATAGAGTGAGAGAGAGAGAAAGAGAGAGAGAGAGTTATTTGAATGCGGTCACCGGCTATTGGCTTGTAAATTGAAGGTAGCTGGCTGACTTCTTTTGTCTTTAAGTATGAATCAAAAATAAAATGTCTGAAATGAAGTTGTGTCAAAATAACAAGTAAAAGCTTTTTGTTGAACCAGATAACTTCCGGGTGGAGGAATTAGACCAATAGACACTAGGGTTGGAGACAAGATTGATTTATGAGGAAGACAAAGTGAGTTGGAAAGAAAGACAAAAAGAAAGGAAGAAAACAGAATGAAAGAGAAAGAGAGAGAGAAAGAAAGAAAAAGAAAGGAAGAAAACAGAATGAAAGAGAAAGAGAGAGAGAAAGAAAGAAAAAGAAAGGAAGAAAACAGAATGAAAGAGAAAGAGAGAGAGAAAGAAAGAAAAAGAAAGGAAGAGAAAACGAATTAAACGAATTATAAGAAAGGGAGAAAGAAGAAATTATCGAGAAAGAAAGAAAGAAAGAAAGAAAGAAAGAAAGAAAGAAAGAAAGAAAGACATCATCGGTTAGAAGAAAGAAAGAAAGAAAGAAAGAAAGAAAGGAAGAAAGAAAGAAGTCATCGGTTAGAAGAAAGAAAGAAAGAAAGAAAGAAAGGAAGAAAGAAAGAAATCATCGGTTAGAAGAAAGAAAGAAAGAAAGAAAGGAAGGAAGAAAGAAAGAAAGAAAGAAAGAAAGAAATCATCGATTAGAAGAAAGAAAGAAAGAAAGAAAGAAAGGAAGGAAGAAAGAAAGAAAGAAAGAAAGAAAGAAAGAAAGAAAGAGAAAACGAATTATGATATGAAAGCGAGAAAAAAGAAAGTATCGAGAAAGGAAGAAATAAATAAATAAAAAAGAAAGAAAGAAAGACAGAAGGAAAGAGAAAGTGAAAGAAATGAATTATGATGAGAAAGAAAGAAAGAAAGAAATAACGAGAACGTAAGAAGGAGAGAAATTAAGAAAAAAGAGAGAAAAAAGAGAGGAAGTAAGAAACTAAGAAAATAAGGAAGCAATCAAGAAAGGAAGGAAGAGAAAACGAAAGAAAAGAACTATGATGAGAAAGAGAGAAAGAAAGAAAGAAATTTAGAAAAAAAGAAAGAGAGAACGACAGAAGAAAGAGAAAACAAAATTAATTAATTATAAGAAAAACAGAAAAGAGTAACCAACGAGAAAGAAAGAAAGAATATGAAAGAAAGAAAGAAAGAAAGAAAATGATTATGAAAGAAAGAAAGAATATGAAAGAAAGAAAGAAAGAAAGAATATGAAAGAAAGAAAGAAAGAAAGAAAGAAAATGATTATGAAAGAAAGAAAGAATATGAAAGAAAGAAAGAAAAGAAAGAAAGAAAATGATTATGAAAGAAAGAAAGAATATGAAAGAAAGAAAGAAAGAAAGAATATGAAAGAAAGAAAGAAAGAAAATGATTATGAAAGAAAGAAAGAATATGAAAGAAAGAAAGAAAGAAAGAAAATGATTATGAAAGAAAGAAAGAATATGAAAGAAAGAAAGAAAGAAAGAATATGAAAGAAAGAAAGAAAGAAAGAAAGAAAATGATTATGAAAGAAAGAAAGAATATGAAAGAAAGAAAGAAAGAAAGAAAGAAAATGATTATGAAAGAAAGAAAGAATATGAAAGAAAGAAAGAAAGAAAATGATTATGAAAGAAAGAAAGAATATGAAAGAAAGAAAGAAAGAAAGAAAGAAAGGAAGAAAGGAAGAAAGAAAGAAGTCATCGGTTAGAAGAAAGAAAGAAAGAAAGAAAGAAAGAAAGAAAGAAAGAAAGGAAGAAAGAAAGAAAGAAAGAGAAAGAAAATGATTATGAAAAAAAGAAAGAATATGAAAGAAAGAAAGAAAGAAAGAAAGAAAGAAAAGAAAGAAAGAAAATGATTATGAAAGAAAGAAAGAAAGAAAGAAAATGATTATGAAAGAAAGAAAGAATATGAAAGAAAGAAGAAAGAAAGAATATGGAAGAAAGAAAGAAAGAAAGAAAAGAAAGAAAATGATTATGAAAGAAAGAAAGAATATGAAAGAAAGAAAGAAAGAAAAGAAAATGATTATGAAAGAAAAGAAAGAATATGAAAGAAAGAAAAGAAAGAAAGAAAGAAAATGATTATGGAAAGAAAGAAAGAATATGAAAGAAAGAAAGAAAGAAAGAATATGAAAGAAAAGAAAAAGAAAAGAAAGAAAGAAAATGATTATGAAAGAAAGAAAAGAATATGAAAGAAAGAAAGAAAAGAAAGAAAGAAAATGATTATGAAAGAAAGAAAGAATATGAAAAAAGAAAAGAAAGAAAGAAAGAAAGAAAATGATTATGAAAGAAAGAAAGAATATGAAAGAAAGAAAGAAAGAAAGAAAGAAAGGAAGAAAGAAAGAAGTCATCGGTTAGAAGAAAGAAAGAAAGAAAGAAAGAAAGAAAGAAAGAAAGAATATGAAAGAAAGAAAGAAAGAAAGAAAGAAAATGATTATAAAAGAAAGAAAGAATATGAAAGAAAGAAAGAAAGAAAGAAAGAAAGAAAGAAAGAAAATGATTATGAAAGAAAGAAAGAAAGAAAGAAAATGATTATGAAAGAAAGAAAGAATATGAAAGAAAGAAGAAAGAAAGAATATGGAAGAAAGAAAGAAAGAAAGAAAATGATTATGAAAGAAAGAAAGAATATGAAAGAAAGAAAGAAAGAAAGAAAGAAAGAAAATGATTATGAAAGAAAGAAAGAATATGAAAGAAAGAAAGAAAGAAAGAAAAATATTATGAAAGAAAGAAAGAAAGAAAGAAAATGATTATGAAAGAAAGAAAGAATATGAAAGAAAGAAAGAAAGAAAGATAAAACCAAAGAAATGATTTATGATAATAAGGAGTGAAAGAAGAAAACAAGGAGAAAGAAAACATGAAGGAAAGAGATTAAAAAAAAGAAAGAAAGAAAGAAAGAGAGAAGGAAGAAAAGAGAAAACGAAACAAATTAATTATAATGAAAGGGAGAAAGAAGTAAATAATGAAAAGAAAACAATAGAGAGAAAAAGAGAACGAAGTATGACAAAAGGTCAACGGCCTACATTCAACTCTCACACATTGCTCTAAGAAGTCACATGGGCACTGCGACGGCCACACCCCGGTCAGCGACATCGACCTCTCGGCTAAACTGAGCAAGGGTAGTCGCAAGCGTTTCGCGAGCCGACTGGTTAAGGAGAACACCTGTATCAAGCGGCTATCGGCCAGTCTGGGCGTAGGAGCTGCGCCTCAGAGGTCAACGGCTTTACCAGTGAGCGGAGGAACTTCTGAAAGGAGGGACTAGACATCAATGGCAAGAAGACAGAATATATGGTTACGAGCAAAAAGAAGATCCCAACATGCAAATTGTAGATCCCAGAATCAAACAAGTAAAACAATTTACATATTTGGGAATGTTTAACAGAGGAAAGAAGGTATGACACTACGAGGCTGGCATCCCGCTCTCACCCTTTCACTGTCGAAACTTCTAAATGTAGCCGTCTCCTCTACTCCAATAGCTTCATGTCTCGCACCTCTCGCCTGTGGAACTCCCTTCCCTATTCCTGTTTACCTGTGAGCTATAATCTCCAAATATTCAAATGTAATGTCAATCGACATCTCCAGTTGCCTTGATCTATCCACTACCATTCTCCTCATCCTTTCCTATATCACTCCTATCTGATCTTGCTCTAAATCTTCTGTAACCCCTTGCGTCCTAGTGGCTTCCCGCCTTGCTTGGGGTAAAACGCTTAAAAAAAAAATCCGAAGGCGCATTGGGATAGCGAAAGATGCCTTCCAAAAGCTAAGTAAAATATTGAGAAACAGAAAAATTTCGTTACAAACAAAAAACGAGTATAGAGACAACTGAAATTTCTAGGGCTCATGATGTGGAAAGTGGGGTTCGAAAATTTGATACTCACAGGACAGACTGAAGTGAAGAGGGACAGAAGAAACCAACGAATAACCTACCTAGAGAAATTGAGTAAATCGACCTGTTGAGTAAATGGATGGTGGACCCATAACCTCATTTGAGCTCTGTCCGAAGACAAAGACACAACCAAGATGCCCTCCGTCCGAAGACAAAGACACAACCAAGATGCCCTCCGCCCGAAGACAAAGACACAACCGAGATGCCCTCCGCCCGAAGACAAAGACACAACCGAGATGCCCTCCGCCCGAAGACAAAGACAAACCCTCCGAGATGCCCTCCGCCCGAAGACAAAGACACAAAGACTGAGATGCCCTCCGCCGAAGACAAAGACACAACCAAGATGCCCCTCCGCCCGAAGACAAAGACACAACCAAGATGCCCTCCGCCCGAAGACAAAGACACAACCAAGATGCCCTCCGCCCGAAGACAAAGACACAACCAAGATGCCCTCCGCCCGAAGACAAAGACACAACCGAGATGCCCTCCGCCCGAAGACAAAGACACAACCGAGATGCCCTCCGCCCGAAGACAAAGACACAACCAAGATGCCCTCCGCCCGAAGACAAAGACACAAACCAAGATGCCCTCCGCCCGAAGACAAAGACACAACCGAGATGCCCTCCGCCCGAAGACAAAGACACAACCGAGATGCCCTCCGCCCGAAGACAAAGACACAACCAAAGATGCCCTCCGCCCGAAGACAAAGACAAAAGAGATGCCCTCCGCCCGAAGACAAAGACCAACCGAGATGCCCTCCGCCCGAAGACAAAGACACAAAGACAAGATGCCCTCCGCCCGAAGACAAAGACACAACCGAGATGCCCTCCGCCCGAAGACAAAGACACAACCGAGATGCCCTCCGCCCGAAGACAAAGACACCTCTGTCCGAAACACAAGATGCCCCCCCGTCCGGAAGACAAAGACACAACCTGAGATGCCCTCCGCCCGAAGACAAAGACATAACCGAGATGCTCTCCGCCCGAAGACAAAGACACAAACCAAGATGCCCATCCGCCCGAAGACAAAGACACAACGAAATTACCATCATGCCCTCCATTTGCCCTTTGAAGACAAAGACACAACGGGTGAGATGCCCTCCGCCCGAAGACAAAAGACAAAATTTCTTATGAGATGCCCCTCCTTTCATTTCGCCCGAAGACAAAGACAAATTAAACAAGATGCAACCTCCGCCCGAAGACAAAGACAAAAATCGTTCTCTCGTGAACCAAGATGCCCATCCGCCCGAAGACAAAGACAACCCAGATGCCCTCCGCCCGAAGACAAAGACACAACCAAGATGCCCTGTGTCCGCCCAAAAAAAAGAAGACAAAGACACAAAACTGAGATGCTACTCCGCCCGGAAGACAAAGACACAAATACAAGATGCCCTCCGCCCGAAGACAAAGACACAAAGATAAAAAGATGCCCTCCGCCCGAAGACAAAGACACAACCGAGATGCCCTCCGTCCGAAGACAAAGACACAACCAAGATGCCCTCCGCCCGAAGACAAAGACACAACCAAGATGGTAGGGTCCGCCTGAAGACAAAGACACAAAGAGAGATGAGATGCCCTCAGGAGATGAAGACAAAGACACAACCAAGATGCCCTCCGCCCGAAGACAAAGACACAACCGAGATGCCCTCCGCCCGAAGACAAAGACACAAACCGCGTCAGATGCCTCCGCCCGAAGACAAGACACAACTAAGATGCCCTCTGTCCGAAGACAAAACTTGACACAAGATTAATACAAAGATGCCCTCCGCCAAAAAACACAAAAATTAACAAGATGCCCTCTGTCCGAAGACAAAGACACAACCAAATTGCGTTTTGTCCGGAGACAGAGATATAATTTTAGGAACCAACTGCAATTTAACCATCCGAAGGCAGATACTCCATTTTGATCACAGCGAGCAAATAAAAACGTTATTTAATATCACCATCTGCTCGTTTCAGTTCCATGAATGTCGAATGTTTCCTTATAACGTAACGATTATTATTACCATCAATGCTTCAGTAACCATTTGCTTTGTTCTTTATTTGCATTTCTTTTTATTTGCATTCATTACAGATGTTCGGAATTTTTATATTTGGCGGGTGGGGGGATTCTGGAACTCATATGCTATTAACAACGGTAATTGTGTAGAGTCGTTTCGAAGAAATTGAAAAAAAAGATTTCTTATGATTAATATAAAAGATGTACCCGCTCCTTTCATTTCGCTATCATTAATTGCTCGCCTAATTACTTTGTTTCTGCGTCACAAATTAAGCAAATTAAATATAATTAAGCAACACTTAATGAATTTAAGAACAATTAATGCAGTCGAAAATCGTTCTCTCGTGAACGAAATGAATAATGTCGGCCATCTTTTTCTTTTTTTTTTTTTTTTTTTTCGTCACTAAGATGGCCATCGGTAGGTCGCAATAAAAACCACATGATTTGCACTATCGCTTCATAGGAATATTTTTCGTAAACGAACGGAGACATCTCAGCTTTTAAATCTAGATGCTGTGTCAAATACGAAACAAAAAAAGAAACGATAGTTTTCACCAGTCTGACAAAACTTTTATGATAACGAAACTCATTTGAAATATCTACTCATAATAAGGGTTAATAAAAAGGTTAAGGAGAAAGAAAGGGAGTAAACAATACAAGAGGTCTAAGGGGAAAAATCACCCTCTTGGAAGGTAGATACCAGCAATAGAAAAGGTTTTTAGGGGAGAAAGCAGTAGAGAGATAAGGAGAAAGAGGAATAGTGAGTCGTATAGGAGGAGGGAGAAAGAGGAAATATAGTAGAGAAGAAAGAGGAAGAGTGAATAGTTGCGAAGGAGGGAGAAAGAGAGAAAGTAACAGAAAGGGAAGGAGAAAGAGGGAGAGTGAGTAGTAGAGAAAGGAGAAGAAATAGGGAAAGCAGTAGAGAGGACGGACAAAGAGGAAGAGTGTGTAGTAGAGAAAGAGGGAGGGATAGGGAAAGCAGTAGAGAGGAAGGACAAAGAGGAAGAGTTGTTTTTTAGAAAAAGAATCACCCTCTTGTAGGGGGTACTTCATTTTGAAGCAGTAGAGAGGAAAGGAGAAAAGGAAAAAAGGAAGAGAGAGTAACAGAGAAAGAGATAGAAAAAAAGAAAGCAATAAAGAGAGAAGGAGAAAATGGTAGGGTGAGCAGTAGAGAAGAGGGAGAAAGAGGGAAGACTGAGGTAAGGAGAAAATGAATGTACTTCATTTTGAGCAGTAAGGAAGGAGGAGAAAGGGCACCCCAATTCAGAGAGAGAAGGAGAAAGAGGAATTCGAGAAAAGTTGTTTTTGTAGGTTGGAAGGATAGAGAATTCAGAAGGAAATGAATGGAGAGATAGGGAAGGAGAAATACTTGAATCACCCTCTTGGAAGAGTGAGTAGTAGAGAAAGGGGGAAGAGAGAAAGCAGTAGATAAAGAAGGAGAAAGAGTGAGTAGTAGAGAAAGGGGAAGAAGAGAAAGCTTCATTTTGATAGATAGGGTCTAAAAGGAGAAAGTCAGGAGTGAATGTAGAGAAAGGAAAAGAGATAGACCATACTTGCTAAGTGTCTTTTAAATTTTTCAATTTTCATTATTCGATAAATATTTTTATATAAGATTTCAATCACCCTTCATTTTGTTTATTCTTTTATTTATTATAATTTGCTTTCATAAAGTCGGATAACGAAACGCGTCGGCAAAACTAAGTACTATTTTCCAATTGTCTAACACACACACACACACACACACACATATGTATATATATATATATATATATATATATATATATATATCTTGTAATTCAGAAGAGAAATGAATGGTGTACCAGTTCCGATAAATAATGTATACACCTCTTTGAATCGTTATAACTTATTCAATTTATGTATTTAAACTTGTAAATAAAGAGATTAATACAAGAGAAAATCTGGTCTACACATTTAAAGAATCTGAGAGTAAAATATACAAAAAACATAAAAAATTAACTTTAATAAGATAAAAGCTGCTTGGGGCAATGGCAGAATGTTCATATAATGATGAGTTCACAGCAAATGCTCAAATTGATTACCGTTCTGTTCAACTTTTCATATCTTGAAGAAATAGACCTCCAAACGTCCAGTATCATTTCCTCTGGTATTTGAGCACATTCTTCTTCAATTGCTACTCTCGTTTCAGCAATTGTTTCAGGTTTCCTGCTGTAAACTTTGTCTTTTAGAAACCCCCACAAAAAGAAATCCAAGGGTGTCAAATCTGGTGACCTAGGTGGGTATTCAACTGTTTTTCTTCTTCAAATCCATTTGTTTTGCATATTTTCATCCATATAAGTTCTCACATCACGGTAATGTATTATTAATTATTAATATTTAAAAAGTGTATACATTACCCTATATATATATATATATATATATATTCGGACTATTGTTCTTTTGATAGCAACTTTTATCGCCATATTTTTTAAAGCTTTTGTCAATCACCGTTGTACGCTTCGGCTTTCTTTAAAAGGTTTTATAGGATTGGAATGTCGAACCCTCTTGTATTCAGAACCCCAATTTCGCTCACCGGGTAGACCTGTTCAGAGTTCCACGTGCCATGTTTAATGGATGTTACTTATCTCCTAAAAGTTGTTTTTATCGTTAATCCACCTCTTGTAATTCAGAAGTTCTCCACATTTGCCTTAACCTGGTCTAAAAAGTTGTTTTATTGAACTCAATCACACTTTGGGTCTTCTCACTGGATCTAACTAACGCCTTTATCCACTGTGCCATGTGTTCCTTATCAATCACACTCTTGAGGACATCTGATCTGTATGAATTTTTTGAACATAGTCTACCCCAATTCAGAGCGAAATAAAGGGTTCAGTTCGACATTCCAACCAACAGAAGAAGGCCGGAGCGTACAAAGGGAAACATTGAAATTAATATTTTTGACAAAGATAAGGATCAATAGTCCGAATAATGTAAATAATGTATATAATACCGCATCTCAGAAATATTCATTATATATATATATATATATATATATATATATATATATATATATATATATATATATATATATATATATATATATATTCGATCTTATATCGTTGTTTTAGATATAATGCAGTGATCATTGACAGACTTTTGACATTAGAAAATTGCGTTTCTTTGGCAATTAACATAGCAATGGAACTTTAATTAAAGTTGTCTTAAACAACGCAACTTTTTGAAAAAAAATCATTGGAAAGATAAATTGTCGTTTTGTATAATGACACTGCACGGCCACATTGATGAGTTAAACGGAGAAAAACCCGAAATTCGTAGTCGTTGCGCACCCTCACTACATTTGACACCATTGGAAAAAAATTCTAATTTAATTAAAAGTATTCGTTGAAAGGTCAACAGTTCTCAGTCAAGGTCAAAGTTGAAGTTGTTGAAAAGGACAATTTTAGTCAGTGAATTGGTGAATAATGGCGAAAATAAATGGTGAAAAATATGGAAAAATAAACTTGTAAATTTGACGGAAAATTAAATTACTTATCATTTACATAAGTTTTTTTGATAGCAGCTATACTTTCTTGGAGACCTTACTTATCAATCACCCTCTTGTAATTCAGAAGAGAAATGAATGTACTTCATTTTGATACCAGTTTCATTATTCAATCTGGTCTAAAAGTTGTTTTATAGGATTGAGAATCACCCTTACTTATTCAATCACACTAAAAGTTGTTTTATCTTTGTAATTCAGAAGAGAAAATGAATGTACTTCATTTTGATACCAGTTTCATTATTCGGTCTAGTCAAAAAAATGTTTTATAGGATTGGAGACCTTACTTATCAATCACACTCTTGTAATTCAGAAGTGAAATGAATGTACTTCATTTTGATAGCAGCTTCATTATTCGATCTGGTCTAAAAGTTGTTTTATCGGATTGGAGACCATACTTGTCAATC